GGGAACGCGATAAAGCTGCAACGAAACCTCTATTTATTTTTGCAAAGGAAACTTCGAACGGACGACATTTTTGCTGCCAAACTTCGAAACAGCAATATTTTTGCTATTAACCCTTCTTTTTTTAAAGCAGTTTTTTGACTGCTGAGGGCAGAAGGGAGATTAAGAGGGAAGGAGGGAAACAGATACGAAGGAAAGAGTGGCGACACTGAAGAGTATGGAGAGAGAGGAGAAAGAAGTGAAAAAAGAAAAGAGAAGAAGAAGAAAATGTAATTAATTATATCCATGACCTGTGTGCAATAATCCATTGAAAATTTTGAAACATGAAAATGGGGAAGGGGGTAAGGGGCAAAACGGAAGAAAGAAAAGAAGGGAAGTGGTGCAGGCGAAGATTTGCATGGGACCTGGGACAAGAATGAAAATCCACACATCTTTTTGATGAAAAGAGGATTAGGACCAGGTTCATGCTTTCCAAGCCCGGTGGTGAAGGCCATGCAGCAGAGTAGGAGGAGGTGTGTGACGACTACGAGAGTGGGTGGGTAGGAGTCTTACGTATGCTTAGTGAGATTTTGGAGACTTGGGCATATGCTACTTTCTGTGGGATTTTTGTCCAGAAAAAAAAAAAATCAAAATTGAAAATTTATCGGCTCCGAAGGGTGCATACTTGGGGCCACGCACGGGTGGTGGTGCTATGTTCATACTAGGAAGGCATGAAACTGGAGAGGATTAGGACCAGGTTCATGGTTTCCAAGCATGAACATGGTGGCACCAGTGTCATCTGCACCTTAGATAGAATCTGTCCATGAGCTTTGTCTGCAACTTTCAGATGGAAAATTGAAATTCAAATTTTTGCACTCTTTTTTGCAAGAGAAACAGTTTGAAAAATTAAAGCCGAGGACTTTTCCCCGAGTCGGGATTGAAATTATTGAATGGCATTATGGACTTCAGGCACAGTTCTTTTCTTTTCCCTTTTTTTTTTTTTTTTTTTTTTTTTTTTTTTTTTTTTTTTTTCTCTCTCTCTCTCTCTCCAGTGTGTGTACACACATCACCGGTTTTTTTTTTTTTTTTTCCCCGTGCATCTGCGATCAGCACGCCGCCAGCGCACCTTTTTTTTTTTTTAAGAAGAGGGCATTATCATTGAACTGACTGGCCCCATTATTTTACTTCTTTTTTTTTTTTTTGAAAAACAATATATATTATCAGGGCCCAGTGCCCAAGGCTGTACATAAAGTAATCAAAAGGGGTCAGTCGGGTTGTCCTGCTCCACCCGGAGTCCAGGAGCGAGGTCCCACTAGCAAAGAGGATACGATTAACCTCCAGAATCTGGGCGTGTTTTAAGCGGAGATACAGAAAAGCAGCTCAATCTTGATTTTCTGCACCTTTCCACGAACACACCCAGATTCAGTCATTCAATTGAATCCTTTTTGCTAGTGGGACCTCGCCCCTGAGCCCTTCCCCCCCCTACTAATTAATTATTTAAATTTATTTTATTCTGTTGGTCTGGTTGCCACTAGATTCGAACTTGGGCCTGTATTTCAAACAGTTCATGGGTGGATCAACTGAGCTACGTACGGCCGCCGATTCAGGCAGAGTTTTTTTTTTTTTTTTTTTTTCTGACTCAAATTTTGTAATTCAATCCAATTTTTGCGAGAGAGGGACGGTGGTGCTGAGTTGGAACTTAAATTTTATTTAATTAAATTAATTTCCAATTTTCAATTGTTTTGCAACCTTCAGTTCAATTGAAATTTGAAAAAAATCAAAATTCAAATCGTTATAAATGGCATCGTGGACCTGGGCCACAGCTTTGTGTGTGAAATTTGAAATGTAACTTCAAATTTTCAATTATTTTTGCCCATGTCCAAGAAATACTTTTTTTTTGAAGGTTTTTTTTTTTTTTTTTTTTTTGAAAGGGAGAGGAGTTTTTGAACGGGATGTCTCCTAGTTTGTGGGATAGAAAGAGAGAAAAGGTTGAACCTCCAGTAAACCCGGGCCTCTTTTTTCGAACGGCCAGCGGCGCACTTTCCGATCCGAACTGCCAGCGCGGCATTTCTTTTCTTTTTTGCCTCGCGGCACAAGATTGCCCTTGTGGTCCGGTTAGTGGCCCTAGCTGCAAAAAAAACAATCTTGTGATAGCGGCCCTAGCCGCAAAAAAAACAATCTTGTGGCAAGAAGATGTTTTGCTGCAAGGCGGGGGCCGTGTACTTGTGTGCTTTAAGCCTTTTTTTTTTCTTTTTTTTTTTCTCCTTTAAGGAAGCCTGAATTAAAATTTTCAAGCCTTTTTTTTTTTTTTTTTTCCCTTTAACGGAAGCCTGAATTAAAATTTTCAGAAATATAAAACAGGCACAAAAAAGGTGGTGGAAGTCCGACGAAACAGTGTGGCACAGTCATATGCTTTTTTTGAGTGTATAGCGAATACCACAACACATACACACAAACGAAAATGGACCCCCAAACCCTATTTTCAGTTTAGGGCCTGTTGGGGAGGACCTGAAAATAGGGGGGGCCCGTTGACCATTAAAAAGAATGAATCGAAATCACTGAATGTCATCAAGGACTAAAGGGCACAGCTTTGTGTTTGAAAATTTTGAAATTCATTAACTTGCAATTACAATTCGCACAAAAAAGCTTCTTATCTTTTTCTTCTTCTTTTTTTTTTGTCGTTTTTTTTTCCCCCCCCTGTTTCTTTCTTTTTTTGAGGGTAGAAAAGCTGCAGCGAGTGGGGTATTTTCAAGTTGTGATTGAATCATTGAAATTGATGAATGGCATAAAGGACGTCGGGCGTAATTACGGAAGAGGAACGAATGGCTGGGGATTCATCGTGGGTGAGAGTTTGACAATGGGCCTTGCTCCACTACTCGCCAGATGCACAAAAGACAAAAAAGTATGGCTGTGTATCTTCCCACGTTCTAGCAGAATATTCATTCTCTTTTTGCATATTTCGTGAGTAGTCGAACGAGGCCGTATGTGGGTATGCACGATAGGTCAGGCTGACAGTCTTGCTGTGAACAGCTTGTAGATGGCCTTTTTTTTTTTTTTTTTTGAGTAGATAGCTCTTTCACTTGTGAATAATTGCTTTTTTGGTGCATTTGAAATTTTCAATAGATAA